GATTATTATCATAATACAATCACACAACTATAAACAATTGTAAATAACATTCACGTATTTAATGACAGTGATGAATGTGTTCATTTTCTTAACAAAGTCAAAAAACAAAAAGTATTGATGTTAGTATCTGGTAGTGTTAGTCAACATATCTGACCACGTATTCATTAGATGTCTCAACTTACAGCAGTCTTCATCTTTTGTGAAAATAAATCAAAATATGAATCATTGAAAAATAGTTTGGCCTAAAGTTCAAGGCATTTTATGTAAATCGTTACAACAACTGATATATCAATATGAAGAAGATTCCATAGGTATTAGTTTGTTTTCGGCAAATGATATATCTGATATAAGTTTAGATCAACTTGATCAATCATTTATGTATGAACAATTAATTAAAGAAATCCGTCTTGAACTTGAATATTATGATTAAAGTGTCTATGATCTAGTTAGTTATTGTTGTGACAGATATTCTAATAATCCAAAAGAATTGGAAAACATTCAACAGTTTCAGCAAGAATATGGTAATAAGTCACCCATATGGTGGTATACTTGTGATAGTTTCATTTATCATATGCTTAACTGTGCTCTTCGTGAACAAGAGTTTGATGCTATCATAAGAATAGCATTTTTTATTTGTGATCTACATCGACACATTGAACAAGTCCATTTGGAACAATTTAAAGAATGTCAAAAAGAATTTATCGTCTATCGTGGTCAAAGTATGACGCCAGAACAGTTCGAAAAGTTAAAAAAATCAAAAGGTGGATTAATGTCGTTCAATAGTTTCTTATCAACAAGTATAGAAGAAAATGTTGGTTTACAGTTTGCTGAAAAAGCTTTAAGTGGTGATCCCTCAGCTGCTATAAAAAAAATGAAAGCGAAATTCTATTCTTGATGCTGACTATTTTTCGTATTGGTAATATAAAACCAAGCGGTACTAATAGTAGACTCTGGCACATTCATCTTACACTAACAAGCGATAGTGATCAACAACTCAATGCTTTAATCGAACGCATGCGAGTAGATATTCAAGGACCATCATCATTCTATCGATTAGGTACATTGATGATAAAACTTGGTGAATTTGTAAAAGCTGAAGAAATATTCGAAACTATGCGTAAACACACATCCGATGAACTTGAAAAAGGAAATCTCTTTTATCAACTTGGACAAATTAAAACTAATCAACAAAACTATAAGAAAGCACTGGAATTCTATCAAGATGCACTTACAATATATCTGAAATATTTTTCTTCAGATCATCCTAACATAGCTACTTGCTATAACAATATTGGTTTAGTAAATGATCATCTGAATGACTGGGCCACTTGTAGCAATAGCATTGAGTTGATATATAATAATATGGACGAGTGTACGAAAGCATTTTCATTTTGCAAAAGAGCACTTGAAATCTTTGATTAAAAACACTTCCATCAACTCATCCATTATTAGCTACTTCAAATAATAGTATTGGTTTAGTATATGGTAACATGAAAAAGTATTCGGAGGTAGTTGCTTCGTGTAAGCGTGTAGTTGAAATTGAAGAAAAGGCATTGCTTCCTCGTCATTCGAATATTGAACTACATAAACAAAATTTTGAATCTGTTCGAAAGAAAAGAAATAAATGATTATTAATAAATTTGAAAGAAGAGCATTTGCTAAATTGCCGCTTATGATTAATACATCGAATGATATCATATTTCGTCTACGATCAAATCATTTGTTAGGCCTGAAGTGAAGAGCATTTTGATGTTGTCTTCAGCTTTCGGCTCATTATACCAACAAGTTGAATCTTTCCAACTCCCGCTTGACCTTTTTCAGCTAGGATAGTGTTCTTCTAGGTCTGCTTGGCGAAGTTATTAAATGCAATAACATTTTTAGTTTGATGTTAATGATTGAGAAAAGAAGATCCACACCAGCACCCCATTTACTCGTGTTGTAGACAACCCAACGAAAGGATTAATCTAGTGTGAGATTAATCGATTGTAATACCTTTAGAAGTTATAGTGCGAAACCTGGCTGACGAAATAAATTTATAATGTTTTTTTCGCGAAACTTATTAGATTCTGAAACTTTACTAGTGCTTCTTTGATTTGCATAAAATCTTTTAAGATATGGTGAAGTTACACGAAATGTTTAGACTGATGGAAATGTTGTATAATTAGTTAATTTTTAAATATACGTCATATACTCTTACAATTATTAACTCTTCAATAGTTGATGAAATACTTCTTAAAGGACAATGATTCATTATTTTGTGAGTTTTTTTACAATGTAGAATTTAACATTTGATAAGTTTCCGATGCAGCTGCCCAAAAATGACTCACACTTGCTAGTAGGGTACGTGTGGTGTACATTTCTGGTGTATATCTAAGAATCTTATTCATCATTTTCCTGTAACACTTTATTTGACAACACATTAGTATAACCAAAAAAAAAAACAACTAAAGAACATGTGAAAATAGTCCTATGATTATATCTATATAGTAGTATCCATTTGTTCATTAGCAGAACTTGTTT